AGTCCGCTGGGTGATCAATTTACTCTTAGCTCTTGTTAGAGAAACGGATCAAAGTTAAACGGGTTCATTTACAGTTAAAATAACTATGTGATTTGCTCGGGACGGGAGAGGTTACGCAGGGATAAATACTGTGGCCTACTTCCCTCTCCTCTTTATGCGGGGCGATGCATTTAACCGCGGCGGCAGCTAATCAGCGAGGCTGTGGCTAACGAGAGGCCGTGGCGGGGAATAGCAATGCGCCGTCTCCGGGGGCGGCAGCTCGTTAGCTACGGTCGCTTATTAGGTTTGTCGGTCGGTGCTAGCTAGGTCCGGCTCTCTGCGGTGTGTTGGGCCTTGTTTGCTTTAGCGACCTAATCAAAATGGAATTTCGAATACAGATTCTGTTTTACCGGGTATTATGTGTCTGCCTGCATTGGTTGCTTCAATGGAATCTGCACTAACCACAAAGAGCAACCATATTTGAAATTATAGTAACTTGTTGGCCGATGTGAAGAATTTCCGTAGAACATTGGTTAATAACTAAATGGCAATACAATATGGAAATAAGTAAATGTCAAGAAATCAGAATATAAAATTATTAAAATTATCTGTATTGTTGCTGAAAATGATCCTATTTCGATAATTCTGTTTTCATTTTGTAGAAAAATTGGCCATTTTTCTAATGATCTATCATGTATTCAACTAATAACTAAATAAGATTTTTTTTTTAATATTGCGATCATTTAAAATTAGATTAAATCATGACAAATCACAACATATAACATTTAAACTTCGACGAGACACATGCCCACCAGTTTATATCGGCGACAACGAAATTCCCCAGACGGACACTGTACGTTACCTCGGCTTAATTTTTGACAGAAGGATGACCTGGAGCCCACATGTCAAAATGAAAAGAAAGACTTTGAACAAGTGACTGAAAATACTGTACTCACTTTTTTCCAAATCAAAATTGAAAATCCCATATAGACATAGGCCTCAAAAATTTACGATTCTGCAAAAAAGACGCACTTATAAAAACTAAAGACATTTGAATCCAAAATTGTACGACTTATAACAGGAGCTCCTTGGTACATCAACGACAAAACTTTACATAACGACTTACGACAACCAACTATTGACCAACACATACGTGATCTCCACTGCAGATTTCATCTTAAACTTCACGGACATCACAACGGACTTATTACCGACATGGCCACAACTGACATGCCTATCAGGAGACGACTAAAGAGGAGCTGGATGAAAGATCTCCTTTCCTGAATTATGGAAATAAATCAAAAGCAGGAAGAAGTGCTGCTGGGTACTATTTTTTTTCCTCATGCCTAAAATGTAAACTTTTCTTATTACTTACAGCACATCTGCTTATTTTCAAGCTCATGACAGGTGTAGAAGATGAAAATATGAAGACAAAAAAAAAAATATATATTGTGCAAATAAAGTTTCGTTTTTTAAATAGTTTTTTTCCTAACTTTCTGGAGGATATGGTTGTTTTTCGTACCTTAAGGAGAAGATAATCTTTAAAATGATTGCTTAATCTTTGGATTCGATGTGAAAATAACAAAGAGATGAATAACAAACAAAATAATAATAATAAACAAAACACCTTTGAGGGATAATAATAAAGATAGCGGAACGTCCAATTAATTTCAATGAAAAACATTTCACTCATTATTAGTTTTTAAATAATCAAAAACTATTCATGGAATAATTACATAAAAGTCGTTGTCCTCCTGGGAAATATAAATCAAAAATAGTACCGAAGAAACCTGATCAGACTTAACTTGTTTTTGAAATAAAAATAATAAGAAATAGGTGGAAAAAGAGACTAGAGTAAAAGGAAATGAGGAATGCTATAGGACATTAGCTACGAGAAGAACAGAGGTTGGATTGAATAATTCAGGGAAAACCAAAGAAAGATTATAATTCTTGGATTAGTTTCTTAATGTAACTGAAGGGTTATGAATTGAATTAAAAATAAAAATTAATTTAATTGATAGTTTATATTGACAACAATCAAATTCCTCAAACGGACACGATACTTTACCTTGGACTCACCTTCGACAGAAGGATGACATGGGGCCCACATGTTAAAATGAAACGTATGACACTTAACAAACGACTCAAACTACTTTACTCTCTTTTTGCCAAATCTTTAAAACTAAAACAGAAACTGAATACATATACATACTTACTGAAGCCCATATGTACATACTCATCACAAATATACGGCATCGCTAAAAAGACCCACCTACAAAAACTTCAAACGTTCCAATCAAAATTATTGCGACTCATAATAAAAGCACCTTGGTACGTGACTAACAAAACTCTACATACTGACCTCCACATTCCAACAGTTGACCAACATATAACGACCCTATATCAACGATTTTACACAAATTTAAATGGACATAATAACAGACTTTTAAGAGACATGGCCACAGCTGACATACCTCATAACATGAGCAGGAGACTAAAAAGGCGTTGGATGAGCGATCTCCTTCCTTAGACAACCTAAATAATTGGAACAAGTTAGGGAAGAGGTACTGCTGAGTACTTTCCTTCCCCATGCCTGTCATGTCATTTCATCATTATCGCCATCACATTTGCTTATTGTAAACTTATTGTTGACAGGCGCAAATACATATTTTATAGACAAAAAAAAAAAAAAATATATATATATATATATATAATTTACATATGGTGCCCTAGGCGTTGTTATTACACTATACCGCATGACTGTCAAGTGTTGTGGGTAAGGTATATCTGTGTCGCCGGGCCCAATGCTTTATGCATCAGTGAAAATTCCTTCAACTTATAAAAAATGTATTTATATTTAGAGTAAAAAAGTATTTATAATTATTTATTTCTTTAAAAATCATACTCGCGTAATGTATATATTTTTACAGTTGTAATAAAAAAATATATATATTATTATTTCCATTCTTTATTCTCGCTTTGCGGGGTAGGTTTCTGAGGTGGGAGACCAGAAATCCAGCCACTTCAGATTAATATCTATTACTTTTTAGATATTTAAAAACTTTCGAACAATACGTGCTGTGTCCAAGAGAACTGAGTGTTGAGCCTCTTTCAGCACTTCAAGAGGTAATTTTAATCCCATCGTGCCTGCCACTGTTGTCTTTGGTATCAATCCATTGGAGGATATTATAATTGGAGTGGTGGTGACGTTCCCCAAATGATATAATTCCTTCAGTTCGATTGCCAGTTCCTGGTATTTTCTCAGTTTTTCTCCAACAGTGGAGCTTATATTATTATCGTTGGGGATCCCGACATCAATAAGCTCTGCTCTTTTCTCATTCATATTTATCAGAAGGATGTCTGGTTTATTGTGACGCACAGTATGGTCAGTTATAATCGATTCATCCCAGAAGAGCTTGAGACTACCTTTTTGGAGGAGTTTAATTGGGTGGTACTTATAATACGAAGTTTTGTTATCTAACAAGCTGAGCTTCACCGCCAGAGCCTGATGAAAAATTCTAGCCACATTGTTATATACTTTTACAGTTGTAATAAAAAATATATATATATTATTATTATTCGTTTTTGGAGCAGTGAGCTTTATGAACATATTGAAAACTTAAAAATATCAATGAGGAAAAGAAGGCTGCAATTCTGAATATGAAGAGAATGGATACAAATAAACTAATATTTTATAAAGTGATGGGACCATAAAACATAAAAGGATATCCGGAACAAATAAAAGAAGAAGTAGAAAAAACGGGTATCAAAGAGAAAGACTACCAAGATAAAGAAAAATGCGAGAAAATAGTGAAAAACATAAAGGTTCTTGTATCGGAGAAGAATAAACAAGAAGACCATGAACAAAAGGAAAAAACCTTGATGTATAGTTGGTTTTTATTGCAATAAATAAATAAATATTTTTGGAAAATAATTATTACTGGAAAATAAGGAGAATCCAGCTAAGACAAACTTTACAGTGAAGAAATCCTGAATAAAACAAGAAGGCTCGTCCGAATAATTTTTCACAGTATATTGATCAAAGAAAAAATGATATAATATTATATAGAAATAAATAAATGTAGTAAGTTATGAGTGGGAGAAATTAATGTTCCCGAGGATTCTGAGAGAAATCTGTTTATTTTTTGACACTGAAGGATAAGATAATCTTCAAAATGATTGCATCATTGGATTAAATAAAGTATAAACCAAGATCTGGTGTATAGAATAAAAAATCATTGAAAAAAACAGAAATATAAAGTAATATTCCTTGACAAATAAGTAACATGTAATATTCCAAGAAATCTTAGATGGTTAAATACCAAAATAATTATTATTCTTATTAGTAAAAAATATTTATGAAGGAATTATTATTTTTTTTAAATTTTCAATTAGGAGAATTACAATTTTATTAAGACGGAAATTATATTAATGAGCTTAAGTATCTTTGATATTTGAAGGAGGTCATTGGTCGAAAATAAGATTAAGGAAAAAAAAAAAACTCCCTTAAAGGTTATTTCTCATTTTAAACAATTGGAAACGAGTGGAAAAGAAAATTACTAATGAGACATAATTTACATCTCAAAGAATTATTCGGAAGCATTTCCAAGGATTTTATTTATTTGATGTTTTTTTTTTTTGTTTTTTTTTATCTCTAGTTAAAGAAACAACTGTAAATGACAGAAGAAGATTCAAATGTTTGTTACTTTAAACTTTTTTAAGTTAACATATTAAAAAATAGGGCAATATCTTGGACTGAAATTCAACAGAAGAATGACGGACAAGATATCAATAACAAATACAAAATGACGGACCTAATACTATTACGTACTAATACCACTATTACGTTTAATTTCTTATAAGACTTAATCTTCATGAACCCCTAGAAGATATTCCGCTAGGCATTAGGCAAAGGCTGTGGTTATACATGATGATTCTCCAGCTCACTTTTCTAATAGCGTCACTGATTATTTAAATGCAGCTTAAGGAGACCGATGGTTTGGTCGAATTGGACCTGTTAAATGGCCACCACGATCTCCAGATTTAAAGCCATTAGATTATTTTGTGTGGGGCTGGATGAAGTCCGTGGTTTATTCTGCGACAGTTGGCACTCAAGAAGAGCTAAGAAATCGGATCGTGGAAGCCGCAGGAACTATCAAGCACCACCTGATGCATATGTAACTTACATTCCATATATCATATACTAATAGTATAGTAAGCCCACTTTTTCATTAGCTACAAATATCTAACTATTTATATCTATTTATTAGATATAATTTAATATATGTATCTATGACTTATGTATATTCTAACCCCTGGTTATGGCATTAATACCTAACTCCAACTGATCAAATATTTACATATAGTGTAAACACAATATAGGCTATACGAAGAGCCAGAGAAGCACGGATTCGTCCTGTTGAATGTTGCATACAACAAAACGGAGGCCTCTTTGAACAGTTACTCTAAATGTTGTAATAATAATAAATAAATAGTTATAATAAATAATAAATCTTTAACCTTTGATATCTGCTTAAAAAAAGAGTTTGAGATATATATTAATATGAAAATTTTTGTTTATATTGTGTTAGTGAACACATACCTAAAATAGTGCCGTGCAAATACATTACCGTTAGATTTGCTCAGGTTAAGTTCCCCTGCAATTTCTCAAACAGTTGTTCGTAGGTTTTCTTCCACCAATACCCGCAGAACATCGTCATCAAGAAAGGAAGTTCTTGCATGAACATCTTTGTCTTCAAGGCTGAAGTCTCCCTTCCGAAGATTTTTGAACCACCGTCGAATAGTGTACTCATTAATGCTGCTCTTGCCCCAGACTTGATTGATGTTTCTGGCCGCCTGGACCCTCCCCATTACGGCTGAGTTCAAACTCATAAAACAAGATTATACGAAAGTCACGCGCTGACATCTTAGTAAAGACTGAATTATTTCTAAGCAGCAAGATGCTAAAGAGGTAAACAAACATTATTGTTTGGAAGACAATTAATTCTGTTTGACATTCATATGAATAATCCAGTAAATAATAAATCGGAGTATTTTAAAGAAAATTTCATTAATTTAAGATGTAAAACGATTTCATGAATAGCCGCCAGGTTTAACAAATGTTATACTTCCGTAGTTATCAAGGAAACAAATAATTATTTCAGTTCCAGAAAAGTTGCCGATTTCTGTATAAGAGGAAGAAGTGGTTGTTGATGTACGAACATGAAGAGGGAGTAAAGGTCAAAGTTCAACAACCGACGGATCGTAATTGAAAATTCTCTAGTGGGCACTTCATACTCTAGTGCGTCTAGCTGAAAGATTAAATATTACTATATAGGGCCGAATTATAATAATAACGTTACACTTCATCTTAGCTCATGCGAAAAGAGTGCTTATCACGTACAGGGATAAAAACAGCAGACAAAGCAAGAGAAAGCACAATTTTCTAACGTATTTTCCTTATATTTAATAGAATGAACGTCTTATATATTTAAAAGCAATATATTTCAGGGGAACTATTTTGTGAAGAAATAGAGCTTTTCAAACCATTTTTCGAGAACACCCGTATTTTTCTCGTTTTCCATGTAAATTATTGTAATTTTTACTTGAATGATACAAGACAAATATAGAGTTAGTATATAATTCGTAATACAATATTCTGAACTTATAGTAATTTTGTAATTATAATAGTAATTAAAATCACTTAAAATTTTACTTTTGAATACACAGGCCTCACTAACTCTACAACATCACATACTTAAATTACAATCTTGGTTCACTCTATGGATAATTCTACTTAATCATGACAAATCTAAACATAAAACATTTACTCTTCGAAAAAACACCTGCCCTCCAGTTTATATTGACAACAATCAAATTCCTCAAACGGACACGGTATTTCGGCAGAAGGATGACAAGGGCCCGCCTGTTAAAATGAAACGTAAGACACTTAACAAACGACTCAAATTAAATTTACTCTCTTTTGTACAAATCTTCAGAACTAAAACTAAAACAGAAACTGAATACATATACATACTTACTTAAACCCATATGGACGTACTCATCACAAATATACGGTGCCGCTAACACGACCCACCTACATAAGCTTCAAACGTTCCAATCAAAATTATCGCGACTCATAACAAAAGCACTTTGGTACGTGACTAACAAAACTCTACATACTGACCTCCACTTTCCAACAGTTGAGAAACATATAACGTCCCTTTATCAACTATTCTACACTAATTTAAATGGACATAATAACAGACTAATAAGAGACATGGCCACAGCTGACATAGCTCAGAAGATGAGGAGGAGACTAAAAAGGCGTTTGAGAGATCTCCTTCCTTAAACAACCTAAGTAATTGGAACAAGTTAGGGAAGAGACTGAGTACGTTCCTTTACGTTGACTGAGTACGTTGCTGAGTACGTTCCTTCCCCATGCCTATCATGTCATTATTTCATGATCGCCATCACATTTGCTGATTGTCAAAGTCAGAAAACCTGTAATTCCCTGTAATGACAATACAGGGAATTATAACAGGTATAAACATGTCACCTGACCTGTTTAAATTGTTTTGGTTGTTTAAGGAAGGAGATCTTTTATTAAGCGTCTTTTACAATTCCTCTTATTCATGACAGCCGAAGCTATATCCCTTATTAGTTAGTACCTTATGTCGATACAGATTAGAATTAAATAATTTGTAAAGTGTCCTTATTTATTGGTCATTTGTCGGCAGATGGAAGTCGGTACGTAGAATGGTTATTTATATACTAATGTCTTGAATCGTAAAAATTATGATCGGAAGATTTAAAGTTTTTGTAGGTGAGTCCTTTAAGCATACATCTGTTATGCATAAGCATCTGTTATGAATATGCCTATATGGATTTAAGTAATTAATAATTCAATTGAATGTAAAAAAAAGAGATATTTTGAGATTTTTAATATGGTGTAAATGTACTTCCTCCTTACTATAGTCATTGTTCATACTATGAAAGAATGTTATATTACTCAATAAAACTTACGGTGTAAAAAAAAAAATATTTAAGGAAAAGTTGAAATCTGAAGCCTATCTGTTTCTCAATGATTTGATGATTTTTGATTAGGGGAAAAATCACATTTTAAACTAGAAAGACACACTTACAAAAACTACAGTCATTTCAATCCAAAATTTTACGACTTATAACAGGAGCTCCCTGGTACGTTAACAACAAAACTTTACATAACGACTTACGTCAGCCAACTATAGACCAACACATACGTACTCTCTACTCTCGTTTTCATCTCAAACTACTCGGACACACAAACAGACTTATAACCGACATGGCTACGACTGACATGCCCATTAGGAGGAGATTAAAAAGGAGCTGGATGAGAGATCTCCTCACCTAAATCAAAAAAATAAATAATGACCAGGAAGAGGTGCTGCTGTGTACTATCCTTCCTCATGCCTATATTAATGCCTATCCTCATCAAGAGAACACATCTGCTGATTGTCAACACCATGACAGGCGCGGATAAATAATTAAAGAGAAAAAAAAACTATACAAAAACACTAAGGCGCATTTATGTCTTTTTTTTTACCAAGCTGCACCTCTGTATTTAAATACATTTTACCTTAAGCATGCAAAAATTGTTTCTTCTATTATCCTCCTCATTTTTATATTGATCATCAAATAATATATGTTTTTTTACGTTCGCTTCTCAAATACTATTAAAATTTTATTGAAAGCGAATCACATCTCTAACTTAGATCAATGTTTCTCAAATTGGATCTAAGGTTTAAAACGTTTAAAAATAAATGACTCGAGAGAAGACTCAGAATCGTCGAACGAGAATATCCGCGAGCAGTTGAATTGCTCCGATAAGAGATTTCTATCGCGGGTGGGGGGGGGGGCATTGAATGCCGACACCAGAGTGACCTGATTAAACAGATAGCAACGACAATAGGCACCTTAGGTTTGGAATACGGTGGCTTGAATCGATCCAGAACCTTATAGTTCACGGCACAGGCATCCCTTTTTATCAAATTATTAACATCTGTCTAAAACTTCGTGGATGGGTTCACCATATAGCAATCTCCAACTTTTCGTGAGAATTCTCTGAAATGGGGCGATTCCGATCTACAGATAAATAGGGTAAATTCAGTCTATTTAATGAGGTACTAAAAACTAGGAAGTGGCAGCAAAGACTGGTCGCTTTAGATTCTTGAGTTTTAAGGGTGGCGGGGTGGCCGAGCGGGAAAAGGCGTGTGCACAGCAACCCGGATCAAACATAATTAGATTAAACTAATTGCGAGTTCGCCTCTCGTTGCTCGGGGAAGGGAGAGAGAGAGCTTTTAACTCTGGAATCATTCTTCTGCCCTTGAACAGCACTCATAGGCAATAATTTTAAGCCCCTTCAAACAGAACCATCTATTGGTCATCAGAACAGCGAAATTTATTGGCGAAGAGGAACAACTAGAGTTCCACGTGGGAAGATCTAGCACCTCAAGATCAAGGTACAGTATGTCCACAAAATGGTCTCCATGACCAATCATATCAAGAAAAGGACTAGCTAAACTCAAGCATAACGAAGTGGCCAGGAAGAGGCGGCATTGATGTCAGAGATGCGTTGACATAACATGACATTCCGAGGTGTCAGCAGGCCAGACCACACTACCCGACCCAGATGCATTTGCGAAAGCCAGACCCTCTACACCATTATCCCACCAGTCAGAATCTACATTTACCTGGTCTGCCCATTAACAAAAAATAAATACTAACACATTAATCACAATGTATATTTTGGTCCCCACCATCAATAACTATTTATTTCTTATTTATTTTATTCAGCAATATATATTTTATGTTAACTTTATTTTGGTAATTTTACATTCCACAAGAAAAACAGTAATAGAGAATATATACGTACATAAATATTGTAAATATGTTTATAGTTTGCAGTATCAATAACCTTAACTAAATCCTATTGGGACAGACCCCTATGGCTGTATTGTATATTTAAGCCAATAAATACATTATTTAAAAATCTAATCTAATAAAAATATAAATCTAAGAACTTATGAACAACTATTTGTTTTCCACTTAAATTGTAAGATAATCTGTAAAAAAATCAACAAAAAGTGTGGCCTACAAAAATAGTGGGCCGTTTCGTGTGGCCTCCAGCTCCAAGTCAACAAGTCAAAATAGTGAGCTTATTCAGACCAAATTGGCCAATATATTTTTCAAAATTTTTTTATTACATCATATTAAGATTCAAGTGGAAAGCAGTTTTTTTTTTTAGTTTTTAGAACCGCTCCATTTCTGAGAATTTTCGTAGATAAAAAACTTATAGGATACAATAAGGTGAAGCTATTGACGAAGTACAAAACGGATGTTAATAATTTAATAAAAATATGTGATACATTTCCTCATAATTTTT